GATGATGTGGATTATGAGTATATTTTAAGTGGTTCCATGCAGGCAGGGGGAAGAGTTAAGAGTATCATCATCTGGCTAATTTACCAAACGATTGATGTTTGTTTTGTTTTATTCATATTACCCAGTGATAATTTGCCAGATTATTACACAACTAGACTATTTTATATTAGTGGTCTATAGACTAAACTTAAGACTTATTGTTGGCGGTAACATTTTTTGTCAGAGAAGCTTTGTAACAAACCTGTTCATTGTTATAAATGTTGCAAACGTCGGTCGGGCGATGATTGTCGACAATGTAAAATATTACGTCTGGCTCCGGTTGCAGTATCTCTACAATATCAAGAGTTCCTCCGCAGTTCACAAGGATCACATATTTCACCTAAACACAAATATATCAGTTACAAAAATAATAAAGCAATCAAAATTCAAAATCTCTAAATTACTTTGGAATAGGCCAAGTGATATAGCCAAGATGATGAAAATGTATAGGAATTTTTCATAAAATTTAGAGATAGGCTAATGATGCGATGGTTTCATGACTGTGAGACATTTAACTATGGTGCAGTGATTGCGGGAGATCTTTGAGCTGGCGCTGTGACCGCGGAATGTGTTGAGGATCACCCTTGAGTGCATGTTGAAAGTTGTGTCGTGATCGCAGGAAATGTTCAAGATGACGATGTCTGCAAGATATGTTGACGAAGATACCGTGACCGCGAGACATGTTGACGATGGCACCGTGACTACAAGACCAGGTATATTGGACATTGTGTTTTTGGTCCAGGGATAAAAAAAAAATAGTAAGTTAGGCCGAATGGAAAGTTGGGAATTTTATTCCAGAAATCACGTAGGTGCCTTAATATTGCCCAGGAAGGTTGGATAACAGAATATTCTACAGTATAGGCCTACCAACAAAAGTACACAAAATATAACCTCGCTTGAAACATGAAATTATTAAAATAAATTTTTTATTTAGCAAAGCAGAATTTTCCACTTTATAGAAAGTGGTCTCATAAAAATCTTACACATGCATGACGTAGCCCTACACAATATTGCAGTAGGGCCTAGTTCAGTTTACATGGTTGGCAAGGGATTTGGTGGAAAGGCGTTTAAAAGATCAAACAACAGCTTCAGGCAATGAAGATAACATAGCTCCACTTTTTTTACCATAGCTAATATAAAAATGACATCATCGTAATTAGATGATGTCAAATAATTTGTTAAAACAGCTAATGTGTAAACTACAATCTTGAAAACATAGGACATGAACAAAACTTAGAAAAAAAAACAAATGGCTTGGTAATTTGTTCTCTTAAGGACTTTTTTGTTACCTAAGCTGTTTGTGGATGTATTGGATTTAGATGCTGAGGTCAGCCAGATCCAACTTCAAATATTAGTAACAACGATGCAAAAAATACTTACTTCTGATGCATGTTCTTCATAAGCTGTAATCATATCTTGGATACCTTGAACCGGAACTAACGAGTAAACAATACTGTCGCATTGGAAAAGCCATTGCAAGATTTTGCAGGAACAAGCAGCATCAATGTCACTGTTAGCAAAAACTAATACTTTCTGAAAACAAAATTATTAAGCATCAAAATAAATAAAAGGACTTAAGTTATATAGGTCTAGTTGTAACTTAATTGGATCATAGGCCTAGTGTCTTGTGGATATAGGCCTAAGAAGCCTAATTTAGCTTAAAGTTACTTCAAAACTAGATGACATTAAGTTAATAGTACCAAATTTAAATATATTTAGCAGTTAATGTTCAAAAGATTTTTCCCAAAATTTGAAATTTAAAAATAGGTAAATTATATATAAAATAAAAGTACAAGTGACAGTTCCCGTTTGTGTAGAGCTAATTTAGCTCTGGTAATGAAATATAGCTTAAGCAATCAAAAACTGAGAGGCAATAAATCTCTACTATTTGTAGAATTAACGATACATATGGCACTAAGTTAGGCCTCTATGGAGAACAACTGAATTAAGTTTAATCCTAAACTTAGATGATAGGCCTAGAATAAATTTCAAAAGTAAATAATTTAGGACTTAATAACCTTCAAACAATATTTTATTTATTTATTTAACTTATTGAGGGAAAACTCCATTTTACATTTGGATACAAAGATGACAAAATGTTACATTTCAGGCTTATACATGTCATACATGAAGATAGACGAGACTTTGTAATTAGCTAACAATGATAAAGAATCAAAAACAAGTAAGTAAACAGTAAAATAACTCACTTAAAGATTGGCAACTAGAACAAAAAGACTCAACTAGGTAACCTAAAACAACACAGTACAAGACGAGGAAAACATGCAAAAAATTACTTACGGTATAAAAATAAATTATATATACAAGATTTTGAAAATAATTGAATAGTGACGATTTCCCTGGTAACTTATTTGAGACTAAGTTATGGAGAAGAGGAGCAAGAGCAAGAATAACTTAAGGAGTAAGAGTAAGCAACTAGGCAACAAAACTTAAGTACAGATCTGGTAGGTAGTAAAATCTGGATAAAAAAATAAGTGCAGTATCAATAGGCTTATTAAGTTTTTATATAGGTAATGCAGTCTGGAAAACCAACACTTCACGATATTTTCAGAACCTAAAATTGGTAATGACGAAAGAAAGAATAACAAAAAGTAAGCCTGTTTATTAGGCCTACATTAAAAATAAAAACTGTCAAGTTCATTAAAAATAAAAACTGTCAAGTTCAGACAGAACAATAATCCGTTTTAAAAGGCTACCTGAACACACATTAAAAATAAGTTAAAAACCCAGGTTGATCCTAATTAAGCTTCCTGTTTACATCTTTCGACATTATCTAAGGTTGATAATGACCTAGAGAATCTTAAACAATGCAGAATTGGCAGATCATGCAACATTGGCCTAAATAGTAAACAGATTAACCTAAAAGTAGGTCGGCCAGAATTTGATTAGGCCTAGTTAATTTCCCGGATTTAATCAATCTAATGAAAAAAAGTATTAGTGAAACTTCTAGCCCTTACCTTGCCTATAATCTTTTTGTAGAAATCATTTACAATATCGTGTACGTACATTTTACACTAAATTTAACATGGTCTTCTGAAACACAACATCTTTCACAGACTCAGACTATCTTAGAAATTTGAGCGCGAAATTTTAGGATGGTCAGTGCCGATTAGATCACACAATTAACTATGTTAAAATACAAGCACTATAATAAGGAGTATTTGATTTAACCCTTACCAAAATAATATTATTTACAGTATCAATGAAAATGTGACCCCAAACAAGAAGTTTCTAAAACCTTTGGCTCAAGAAATACAATTATATTTAGTCTTACAATATCATACCAGTATTTCTATTACGCTTTTAAATTAAAAATAATTTGTTTATCAATTTTAAGATAGGGACGCCACTACGTGCGTATTTAACCCAAATATGATTGAAGGATGAGTGTGGGACAAGTGACAAGTGGCGCGATCTTGTAGTCTTGTTAGTGACTAACGCCGACAAATCAAATCATCATAAAAAAATCATAAATCAATCATTTATTATCATGGACATTTACATGCATTGACATTGTCAGTGGAGCAGAACATAAAATGCCAATGTTCATTGTCTAAATAATCACAAATTCCTTTCAAATACAGGATTAACAATCACAATAGAATAAACAATTAACAAATTAATAATAATAATTAACAAAATTGAAGAAAACAAAAATAGACTATATAGAAATAATTAACAGAATTAGATGTAGGCTTAAAGTTACAGACTTATCACAGGTTGTTCCAGGAACTCTTCAATAGACACGTTCCTTAGACACAGCAGTTAATTATGAATAGCCAATTAATGGTAACTAAGGGACCTACAGTTTATAGTGGAATCCAAGCCACTTTTTCCCTTGTAATCAACGAATTGCTCTAATTATCAGGATAGTACTGCGGATAGTCGTGGTACTCACTAGGGCGGACGTTAACCCACACACCAGGGAGCATCGCATCCACAGTGCATGCCTATAAATATCCACAATTCGTGACCTCCTATAAAAAAAAATGAAAAAAGTAAGTAGGTAGCTGGATTACAGGCACGGCCACCTTTAACTTTAACTCCAAGGCCGCGGCCTGGTAAGAATTGGCAACTTCGCAAGTAGGGTTGTTTAGTGTCAGACGTCCCATAAGATAACATGTCAGACAGGTGACATCAGCTCATTAATTCGCATTTATTGATTTAAATTTATGAACATAAATGTATTAAAATATTTAAAATAAAACATAATGCAGAATTAATTGAAACCCCATACAATATGAATCGAAAATCTATATCTGTACATTTGAAGAGAAGTCAATATTTTCATAGTCCAGTAACCAAACTTTCGTAAATACACAAATACCATTAGCTGCTTCCAAGCGAAACAGCCGTTACAACCCTACTTGAGTTGAGACGTTGCCACTTCAAGGTCGCGGCCTGGAGTTAAAGACAGCCGTACGACGAGCGACGACGCCACCGTCCCAGTGATTTTGATTTATAATGTTAATTAATTAAAACATTCTTTCATCGTTCATAAAGGGCTTTCTGGAAAAAAACAACTAAAACTAACAAACAATATAAAATTAGTGTTTTTATCATTTATAATAAACACATAACATTTTGCATCAAATTTCGTACCATATAAATAATAAAAGCCATTTAAGAAAAACAGATAGTTTGAAGCAAAACAAAATTAATTGATAGAAAATTATCTTAAACCCATTGCACTCACAATGGTCAGGGATTACCGCTTGAATTTTATCACGAAGCTATCTATATTCCATTTAGTATTGACTACAAAAATATTAATTGATACTATGATTTAAACACAAATCCATTTGGTATTTTGTCTAATTATATACAACGCAACTAAGTACGGTCCATTTGGAACGTGTTTATTTTGAAAGAGAGCAGCGCTACAGATACAATGTTTCTGCTGGTATACAATGTATTGATTGCTTGGCTAGTGACGTTGTAAAACCCCAAAGCAAATGTAACAAGCACACACAGTTTGAAAATATAGCATACTTGATGTATTTTCTACTGATATTTTCCTATAAATAAGATTAGTTTCGCTACATTTTCAATATTTTAACCTATACTTGTGTATTTTCTGTGATATTTTGGTGAGTATATTACGAATTTCATTCATACCACTGCCAGGACCTGCCCATTCAAAATTATTGAAGCAGCCTGGCTTGTCAATAAAATGTAAATTGGTTGCTTATTCAAACAAAGTGAAACTTGTAAGGAAATATTCCTACTTCATTTGTTGTTGAATTTTATATTTAAAGTTACCTTAATTTTTTACCTCATGATACTTTATAAAAAATTATTTGATTGAGTTAGAATTATTAACGAAAGGTTTTTGTTATTTTAAAGTGCAATAAAAGCTAGGTACTTGTCTAACCCATGACCATAGATTTAATAAGTTTTTCAAGCAATAACCTTGTGTAGTACCATTTCAAAACAAAACTTTTTCCAAAATATATGCCTATTATTTCAGCAATGAATGTACTGTACTAAAAATAATGTGTTAGCATGGTACAAGCAGATGGCCCACTCCTGATAAACTCAAACACTATTTTTTAATCTGAAGGAAACAAAAATATATATAATTGGAAATTGCTTAATATATTGGCTAAACACTTTAAAGTTACACACATTGCAAAACTGACAACTCTAGAGTTTATTACATAATTATGTTTGTGAATACATGTATTTTAAGTGTGTGTATATACAATTAATTTAAAATAGTAGGTATTAAAAATGAAAAGTAATAAATATTTTTAAATTGTTCGGATAGTGCTCAGGTACAAGAATTTAGATAATTTCTTCGATTAAAGATTTCATTTTGTGTTTTTTACTGTATGAACTCTTTATTTGAGTAGGTATATCTACACAAAATCTATATCTATAAAAGAGGAAGTATGTATGTTGAAAGCCTGAAAGTTGCATTACAATCTGTCGAGCGGTTTCGGAGTCCATAGGGTATGTAATGCAAATTTCAGGCTTTATTAAGCTTTATTCAAGGATGGTTTGTGTGAAGTTTGATGCAGATCCGTCCTAACGGCTCCGCCCCAGTGGCTCTGGAATTTCCCATGTTAACCTTATGAGTACTCATATTTAAATGGAAATGGAATTAAAGAATCTTAACAGCTATTTCAACTAAACAATTTGATTATGCGAGGTTCAAAAAAAGTTATAAGGTTTACCAACAGGGTGCAGCACTATTATTGTTAAATTTATGACAACAGCTAATTTGAACCAAAAGCAGCAACAAAAAGCTGTGATACAAAATGAGAACTGTCAAAGTAGGATTTTTACAGAGTTATGTTTATATTTTTAATTTAATAAATCATTTTTGATACTGTGGGAATAAGACGTTTTATTTTTTAAGTGCATAATTCATTAACTTATTGACTTTCTTTTTTCCTATTTGTTTACAAAAATTTATTGTGTTTGTATGGTTTATTTCCCCAAAAATAATGTTTTGAAAACTGAGTAGCCCGTTAATACTTTTAGTGGATCACTAAGAGTTTATCCACATACAAAAAATCTAAGGAACATAATTATTCTCTTTAGCATTCTCTTCCCGTTGCGAAGCACAGGTTTGACTGCTAGTTACTATAATCATGTACATCTGAAAGAAAGGACAGTGAAAATTATTTTAAGTATGGTACAGTATATTACCATAGATAAAACATACTCTTAATACAATTGAAACTGTAAACACCAGATCTAGAAATTTGATTTGGCTAATGTTGTAGCAGAAAACATATTATAAATTTGTCAAAGGGTTTTAATATTCAATTACAAAGTGTTGGATATTTTTCTCCAGATTTAGCTGTCTATGAGTCACAATGCCTTTGCCCATTCAGAGGTGCTTCTTCATCTTCAGTCTTCGACAAGGCACAATGCTGATTGCTGTTGTCCAGCTGGTAGGAATTTCAAATTATTTGTACTCTTTATTTATTTTAATACTGACTACTGTACTATTAAAGACCAACTAATAGTAAAATACTATTTAGTTTGATGTAAAGAGAAGAATTTTTATATTTTAAAATTAGAATTAAGGTACTACATATTTTAAGTGTCAACTAATGATCCTGGGCAGTAGTTTGCAAATAAAGGCCTTTTTATTTATTTACTGTAGTCATAAACTTCCACTGTAGGAACATCCACCATTATTGTCAGAAAACTGACTTAACATCATCATGGGATTAATACCCCCCCCCCTGCAGCAAACCTGTAGACCAAGCAAATTTCAATTTGTCTGACTCGATCTTTACTCAAATACTGTATTTCCATAAACAAGGCATATTTATTCCCCATTTAAATAACATTAGATTTAACATGTACATAGGTTTGCTGCTATGGGGAAGGGAAAAGGTGTTTTTTGATTAAATGTTATTAAAATAGGCATTGACCTGTATAGTCAATGGTATATGACAAAATAAATAAGTTTGGAAAATTTGATATAAATGTATCCCCCATGTACATTGTACAAGCAAACTACGAAAGTTTTCTATTTCTACCTAAGAATAACATGAAAATTTTAAATGTACAGTTATTTTTTTATTTCATTTGTTTTCCTTATCACTTTTTGTACAACAAAGCTTCAATATAGAAAATAATTTTTTTCTACACAATAGTTGTAATGAAAATAGGGCATTTCCATTTTTAAAGGTACAAATTAAAAAAAAACTATTTTAGAAAAAAACCATAACACCTTGTTCCCATCACCCAATCTTGCTGGTTAGAGAAATCATCAAGTTTATCCCGCCCTACTCATCAAGCCAAATTTGATCAAAATCAGACCAAAATTAGGTACTCAAGTTAACACGCTCACAACCACACACACACACATACATATAAATATATCAGTCCTAAGTCTAGGTTTTATGCGTTAATACAAAAACATAATGTGACACATATAATGATAATATTGTAGGTGGCTTTTATAGCTACTTCCCTATAGGCAAATTTGCTAAAATGTAGGATTCTTGGGAAAGGTATACTGTGAACGCCTTCATGCACCACTATAATACCACAGATCCTACCCTGGGGATGGATTATATGACCAAACAACAAAACTCGTTTTATTTTGAATGCCAACAAAAAATCATTATTTATATGTTTACGAATGAAAAGACAAAATCTAGATTTGCTTTTCACTTGATGCCTTGCACTTGGGAATTTGAAATTTACAATTACAATTCTTGATGAATGTTTTGGCAAAGTGACAGTCAACCAATAATTTACCCTTTACTGTACTGGCAATGATTTAAGAAAATAAATTAAAATGATAAATGGAATTGTATATATAACATCCAATCCTTTAGGGGCGGAAGAGGTTTTATGTTTGTTTGAGAGTGCAAGAGAAAAACTCCTCTGGAACAATGAGGGAAAACATCTCTCGGCCCATAGCATGTCACATGCAAACCGCGGGCTTGGACTCAGCAACAGTGAAATTGTTGGGGTTTGAACAATCAGGACACATTTATTTTAAAGTACGATTTCTTTATGCTTAGGCACCTAATTTATAGTAAAACTAACTTTTATAGGTTTAACAAAGTAAAATTATGTTTTGTTTAAAGCGATAGTGTTTTTCTTGAGGTAGAAAAACTACACTAATTTGGACTCAAATGATAGTTTTTAAAGTTTTTGATGGACGTTTTATAAACTCAAGCTTCAATATTAATTCCACAGCTGCTCTCTGCCATTGGACTGTTCCTGCTGCTGCTGGGTAGCGCTCATGCACAGGAAATGGCTACAATGCTAGAAGCTGACATAGAAGACTCGGCTCAGCGAGAGGGAATTGTCCTCTCATCAGAGGACAGTGGATTATTTGGCTCGGAAGTAATGATCAACTCATTCAACCAAAATGACATACGGCTCCATAAAGCGCAACATCTTGCGATTGGTATGTCTCCCAACATAATGTTTATGAGTGATAATGTGAAAAAAATTATACTTTACTTACCTTTAATACAATTGTGCTGCTTTTATGGTTAAAAAAGTTTTCTCAAGCTTTTAAACATTTTTCAATGTTCTTAACTTTGCTGGGTGTAGTTTAAAGAAGGCCTCCTCAATATGTAAACAAGTTTTAAAATTTGGTACTTAAAACCAAATGTGTAAGATACTTTGTCCTAAAAGATTGTTTTAGTTTGTTTTATAACATAAACATAATTTTGTTATTAATAGAAAGAAATACGAAGCAGTTTTAAAATCGTGTATCAAAAAAGAAGTTTTAACAGAGGGAAATATAAGATTTGTCCCGGATTAAAATACAAATTCGTTCACAAGGAAATTGGCTATGCTTAATTAATGTACTGTATTATATAATGTAAATACTATTAATCTCCATACAATATTTCCTGGAATTGATAATAAAAATGTTATGATTAATTGTACATACAAACAACTTTAAAGACAAATATAACGAAATGACAATGAGTTTTATGCTATAAAGTAGAAAATTATTACAGCCACATATAGGCCTACATTCCTCTGAAATAAAAAGAAAATATTAATTGCAATCAAAACAGAACAATCACAACTTTCCCTGTGCTATCAAGCCGATAGTGTGCTTCAAAACAGGTTATACACAGCAGAGCTGTTAAAATTTTATGTATTTTTATATGTTATTTGTTGCAGTGGTTATCATCACTCTCTACACTGGAGTAGCCATGACTACAGTTCTCTTGTTCTCCTGCATTTTATTGCTCTATGGAGCTATAATGGTAAATACACTATTTTTTTTGTTGCCAAATAAATTTAATTCTGTGTACACTATCTATATCTATAAAAGAGGAACTATGTATGTATGTATACATATGTGTATATACGTTATGGACTCCGAAACCGCTCGACAGATTGTAATGAAACTTTCAGGCATTATTAAGCATCTTTCAAGGATGGTTCGAGTGTAGTTTGGTGCAGATCTGTTAAAAGGGCTCCCTCAGAGGGTTTTTTAGTTGAGGGCCAGTGGGCCAATGTCAGACGTTTTGATCTACAATGTTTACAAATAAATATAATTTAAAAGCAGAGTGCAGCACAGAAAACTATTTTACTTTTGAATAAGTCCAAATGTATTTAACCCCAATCGCAGCACACCTGTGCACTCAACAACGTTTAAATTCTCTAATGTTAAATATTAAAAACATCAAAACCTTTATCAAAGTATTATGAACAATAAAAGGGATGACAATGCCTTCATATTTTTATCTTTCGTTCTATACCCACACGATCTAACATAAATTATTAACTGAATAATAATCGTGTGTGCTATCTCGGGTTTTCAAATGCCTCTCAATTTGTCATTAAACCCACCACATTACTGTAATTAAAAGAAAGAACTCCAATAATAATGCAAAACTTAAATCCACCAAAGCTGTGCAACGTTACCAGACTAACGATTAAAAAAATGACGTCAAAATTGATTAAAGCAAAAATTATCAGTGGTAGGTTTAAGGGAGGAATAGTCTTAATCCCAAGAATACTGATGATTTCATCAAATCAAATCAAAACATCCTTTATTCATTATGTACAAAATATACATGAATAGTGTCAATTCCTAAGAAAACCAACATAAAAATAATATAAATAAATAAGCCGTACAACACTCATCGGAAAAAGTCATTGAGCTTATAGCAACACTTGTTACATAAAAACTTAAATTAACTTTTTTTTAAATGACCTGATAGCCCAGGCAAATTAGACATATGCTCCCCAAAAAATCGTCTAAAGCTGGAAAGTGTTTTAATACCTTTTGGGGGTCCCAAATAAGACTCCTGTGAGTTTGCGACGGATTCTGACGTCTGCTTAAGTTTTGGGAGTCGAAATAATATGAAAATTTTGCACTTTTTTCCGTTTTTCGCTTATAACTCCTAAATAACGAATCCTAAGGAAAATGTTGTCAAGAGGTGTCTTTTAGTGCATTAAATTCCGCGTCGATTGATGTTAAATACGTCAAAATCGGCCGAGCCGTTTAGCCGCTGTAGCTTTTCAAAGTTGGGATATTTTCATCAACATGGCCAAAAGGTTGATTATTTGACCAGTTTTTGACTTACAACTCCTAAACGACGCATGCTTTACAAAAATGCGCCTGTAGTTAGTTTGGAAAACACAAAATTTTTCGTAGTATTATGATTATGAATGACTAGATAGTGGTTTATTTCATGGTTATCATCCAGAGGTTTTTCCAAGAATGTGTGAAGGGAAGGGTAGCAAGACCCCTATGCAATTTTAAATCTAATATTGTTGAGGGGGTTACAAAAATTCTAGGATCCGCCCTAAGCTCCCATTTATACGATCCCATCTCTGGACACTCCGGAATGATGTTAAGCGATTCTAATATATAATAAGATATTACAACGAGAAAGATTTTATTAAATATAGCAAAAATGTTATTTTTTAGCTTAATAAACAAAAGATGATAATGGGACGGATGTACATAGTTTTACTATGTATTTAGCCTATTAAAAAAAACAATTGGGATTTTTTGTAGATTTTACCATATAACTTTTCTACTTCTCATCATTGGAATCTTAAGAATAAGGATTCATTCTTTGCTCTTATTGGTCTTGCCACAAATGGTGACATTCGGTACCATCTTTTTCGACAGATATCGAATTGAGATAATCGTGCCCACGTGCCCCTTGCAAGTCTTTCAGACATTAGTGCATTATATCCCTGCATTTCATATGGAGCGAGAAAGTGTAAACCTTTTTAACATGTACACGATGGTCGAGATAGGTAGACGGAGTTGAGAAGTTCTTGTCGAACCGGTGGATTAGCCGTAGTGATGGGAGTAAACCCATTGACGTTAATTTTCCATACCTATCTCTCCGAATTAAGTACAATTTTAAATGAGCTCTAAAGGATTGGTGAATGAGCAGCCCCTTTTGTTAGAATCAAAGTCAAAATTAGTTGAAAGTGTCCTCTAGAAGAGACCAACCCTCACTTGATTTGGATATTTTCTGATCCCAACCATGTATAGGGCCAACCTGCTTCTGCAACTTCGCCAAGCGTTGTAACCCGTCAGAACACAGTGAGATCCACATTGATTGGAGTAAACAGCATGAGTAGTTTTAGGCTACATGAATAGTTCGATTTTCGACTCTTCTACATCACGCTTTCTTCATCAAACTGCGCTAGTGGGTACGGACCTATTTTTAATCCAAAGTATGATTCAAATTGAGGCTTGGATTTAATGTGGTAAATTAATGTGGAGTTTTAATGTGGTAAATTAATGTGGAGTTTTAATGTGGTAAATTTAATCACGTGTTGACTGAGGGGGCAGATTCTTCTTTAACCTTTGCTGTTGCCATCACAGCTCATTAATGTCACCACTTCCTTTTATTCTGCACAGTTTATGGTCATTATAGGCTTGCCTATTTACGATTTTCTTGCAAGCTGTGCCTTTCCATTATGCTTTATACATATCTCGCGTTGATGCTATCATATGGGATAACTGCTGAGCTGATTGACATGAGCAAACTATTTTCAGTAAATGGGTCGTGACACTGGAACCATTTGATGAATTTTTTTTTATCCCACCGTATCCGTGGAGTTTATATTGTCAACTTGCTGATAATATGTTGAAGAGGTGATCCCACAATATACCTTAACTTGATGGGTAGCATTCACTGCGATGGGCCTGCCAGCGAACCATCGGGCTAGGTCCACATCATTGATTCCCCTATCTCGGAAAAAGCTCTCCACAGTAAGATGTTGCTTTCATGAGCACTTACTTGTTCATAGGCCATGCTGCAGGATCCATGACGTCACACTAGTGGATATATTCACTGCCATATCCCCTATGTTTTTGGTAATTAGGCTGGTTGTTTGTCAGATTTCAATGGTAAGATTTTAAACTTGACAAGCATCTGATCTAGTGTTAACAATCAATAGCGGTTAAATGGTGAAGCCGATCTTAATGATTTGGAAAACATTCTACGCAGACGTTTATGCTCTTCAAACTAACTACAGGAAAATTTTTTCTATCGCATGCGTTAGAAGATGTAAGCCAAAAACTGAAAGATGGATACAGGGATAGATCGTATATAATGGGTGGTTGGGATGAATCCTGGAATTTTCGGAACCTCAGACAACAATATTAGACTTAAAATTACATAGGGGGTCTTACTCTCATCACACCTTATTAGATAAACCTCTAGATGACCATCATGGAATAAACCACTATCTAATAATTCATAATCCATTTAAGGACAGGATCCATGTTGTTACCAATTTTATTAAAATTTCCCAACTTTAACTTTAATACTTTTTTCAATGAAATGGCGTCCATACAAAGTAGGTAACAATCAATTGCCGTTATTGATTAATAAAAAAACATTATACGCAGAATTTTGTGTTTTCAAAACTAACTACAGGTGTACTTTTGTATAGCATGCGTCGTTTAGGAGTTTTAAGCCGAAAACTGGTGAAATAATCAACCTTTTGGCCATGTTGATGAAAATATCCCACCTTTGAAAAGCTACAGCGGCTAAACGGCTCGGACGATTTTGACGTATTTAACATCAATCGACGCGGAATTTAATGCACTAAAAGACACCTTTTGACAACATTTTCCTTAAGATTCGTTATTTAGGAGTTATGGGCGAAAAACTAAAAAAAAACAAAATTTTCATAGTTTTTTTACTCCCAAAACTTAAGCAGACGTCAGGATCCGTCGCAAACTCACAGGAGTCTTATTTGGGACCCCCAAAAGGTATTAAAACACTTTCCAGCTTTAGACGATTTTTTGGGGAGCACACCCTATATTTGATCTAATTTGCCTGGACTATGAGGGAAGATGCAGACTTAATGCAATCAGGCAGGTTGTTATAAAATTTAATACCAGAGTAGTGGGGCGAAAGTTCAAAGGTAGAACCAACCATCCGAATTACCCTCTGAATTTAAGCAACTACAATTTCCTTAGTGTCTTGCTTTCGCAATCACCATTATAAGGCACTAGGGCAATCCCTGACTATCGTCGGCTTAAATGTAGAAAAAACATGCTTTTCACACAGACAGATGTATTTTGTTAGCGCAGCAACGCGCGCCAGGTAACTGCTAGTAGTAAATAAATGTCAAGGATAATAAGGCATAATATTTACAGCACACATGGACATCCAGCTAACTTTTTTATAAGGGGGGTCTGGAGGATGACCCCGGAAATTTAAAAAAATAGGTACAAAATGTTTCATTTAACCGTTGACTATTGTATACTGAAGTTGTATCAATAGTCAAAGATTTAAAACATTTGTGTACTTAACCAATTTGTGTTTTTTCACATTGTTTTGTTGTAAAATCTAAAAAAATGTGTAAATGTTACTGTAAATGCAATGTTGGTTATACTATATCTTTAAGAGTTTAAAGTTAACATTTGACTGAGCAAGAGTTATAAATTGTTGCTTGCAAGACGAAGGGGAGTAAGTACATAGACTTATCATATTGACTACTTACACTCTTCGTCTAGCAAGCGGAGAAATGACCCCTTCACATGCAATTATGTATGGTACCGGTAGTTATCCAGCTATCCTTATTCCCACAGCACGTCAGACAACTACTGGTACCATGGATCAGCGTAGTTCTGCTGGGCCTTGTATTTTGCTGCACAGCTATGCTGGTCTCCATGTTCTTGGCTCATGGTACGAGGGCCTTCATCATACTGGTAAGTACAGTACTACTCCTCCGCTCACTAAATTTAGGGGGTTTGACGGGAAGCAAGCCATCCCCTTAACCTCACCCTATCTTTGATACAACAGCCGATAGCTGATATAAGCTAAAAGAAGTGGCGAGGGAACCCAGGAAACCTTCCTTAAACGGCCTAAATTTGGTGAACTGACCATAATTCCGAGTTGAAGTTATATTATAGTTGACTGGTACGGTAGCGTAGTCCTGTAATCCAGCTACTAGGAGGTCACAGATTGTGGATATTTATTGGCATGCACTGTGGATGTGATACTCCCTGGTGTAGATTCCCCTCTGCACTAGTGAAGTACTACGACTATCCGCAGTACTATCCTGATAATTAGACCAATTCGTTAATACCAAGGCAAAAATGTCGTTAGGATTAGGATTCCATTATAAACTGTAGGTCCCTTAGTTGCCGTTAGCTGTATGCGCTATTTATTAACAGCCCAAGGATTAATTAAGGATTAATTAACAGTCTAAGGAATATGTGTCGGCTAACAAATCTACAAGATTACGCCACTCAATCTACACTCATCTCCATTCATACTTGGCTTAAAATACCGTACCGTATGGTCGCCATTTCAATGAAATGTAAAAGTAAAGTAAAGACTATGCCACCCATGCCAAGTATCGCCATCCTAAACTTTTTATGTTTTTTTAAAGAAAACAGCTTTATTGTTGCTTCAAGTTTCTTTTTTAATTCTCAGGTACCGGTACCGCACAGGGTATCTGTTGACTTTTGATGATAAGTTTTGAAAGTTGGTAACCCTGTAATTTTTGCAGGTAGTGGGCAGTCTACATCTTGCGCTGGGATTCTACCTGTGGCTGGTTGTCTATTCCCACTACAGAGAGCTCTGCGAGTTTGATAGAGTCACTTGCAGTACATCTCATCACACCCTCAAACTTGGCTACCTTCACTTCCCTGACAGTGTCTAACTTCCTCTGTACATTTATCTAACTCCTTATGAATATTACCAAAACACCCCAGGCCCCTATACCCCTAAAGATCTTTCTGAGCATCTTACTTCAACCTTTAAGTTTCTCTAACGGCTGAACGATTGTCCTGAAAGTCCCCTTTTAATGAGTTAACTGATCAGTCTAAATAATGATATAATACTTTTCCTAAATACCCGACCTCCATATTTGCTTGCTGATTACTGTAAAATACTGTCATTCCTATTTTCACTCTACATCTATGAAAAAAAACCGCCGCAGCAAACCTGCCGACTAAGCGAATTTCCATTTGTCGGAATTGATTTTCAATTAAATCTATTTAAATAACATTAGTTTTAACAAGTACCTAGGTTTGCTGCTACAAGGAAAACTAATAAAGTGTGTTTTTTAGTCAAATATAAATAGCTTAGTATACAGTAAATAAATTTGCCAAGTTTGATCAAAAAATATCCATAAACAAGCAAACTACAACATTTTACAATATTCTGTATTTTTGTTAAAAAATGTCAACATGACTATGACCTTAGTGTAGAAAGAAGTCGTTGATAATTAAAATTAGTTTAAAGGGTACTAATGTTTTTAAATATATATATATATATAAATTTGAACGAATGGTGTTTTTAGCCTCTGGGGACATCAAAATGAAAAAAGTATATTGGTCCCGGGCCTAGGTCTTACCATGGCCACATACGGTAATAGCTACTTCCCAATGGGGAAAATTGCTAAAATTAGGTAAATCCTCTTGTATGGAGTTATTTTGGAGTGACTTTGGTTATTCCAACCTCATCATATCATCATATTATAACTTATACATAAAATTACACATTTTTACTACAAAAGTGCTATAATCAAATCTTAATGGTATTATGCAACAGTAATTGTATTTGTTATTTTTTTCAACAATTATATACAGGACCTTTAGCTAATTTGGTGGTGGTACCTTAAAGTGAAATTTGGATTTCTTGATAAGAACCACTGATTTTTCATGGTTCACTTTTAATATGCAATACGTTTTAAGCAATAATATTTCATAATGAATCATATTCATAAACATATCACTTTTACTGGAGTAGACCTGCCACAAATCTAGCAGTTTTTTCAACTCCTACATAATTCTAGAGTAATTTGGCAATACAGTATCAAATCATCCTTCACGTAGTCTACTCTTGTTGTTTGTCAGCATCAAAATAAATTAAGTACATAAAGCATGAACATTTCTAAATGAAACCTCACTAAAACAGTCCCATTAATAAATGACACCAGTAAATAATTAAGAGTACATAATCATATTGAAGTAATTATTTTAATGTATGATGAATATTAATATTTTTAAAAAATTTGAAATTGTTTGTCCTATACTTTATCAAACCATTGATGAATTACTTGACATTATTTAAAAGTAGAGTGAAAATGGAGGATATTAAACCAAGATTAAGATTGTAATAAATGGTGTAATAAACATATATGTAAACTGTTTCAATGTGGAAAAAATCATGTTGTTTAAAGAAATCTGTTACTTTAATTAAGTTAAAAATATATAGTGATCTAAACATGTAGGTTTAATTAAGTTTAAGTTATTGATTTATTTAAAAATAACTAATGTTTTGGGATATTAGTGCTTCAAGCACATTTTTAATTGATTAAACCTGTGATAAACTAAACTAAACTTATTACAGTAGACCCCCTCTTAACAATCCCTAGCGGGACCGGGACCTAAGTCGTGTAACTCAAAAGGTCGGTTAAAACTGGCAATCCCTAAAAACTTAAAAAAAATTAAATGCTAATATTTGGAATTATATGATCATTATTCTGAAGTTGTGCGTGTATTATTTACAAAATAAACTACGCTAACCTCCTTTTCTTCTTAAGGATTGACGATAAAAGACACAAATAAACCCTACACATGGTAAAGACAAGTACTTTCAGTGGAATAAATCATAGTCCTAGGCAAGAATCAATAAAAATTAATACCTTTAGTAATATAAAGTGATGTTTTCAAAATATATGGTAATACAGTAAGGAACTTATTGTCGAAATTAAAGATACGAGCAACCATTTCGTTAAGAGACAAGATGATTATTTACCATAAATACAAAATAACAAATTCTTAGCAACATCCTGTCGAGTTTAGTGTATTGTTTCCATTACCAAGCGTGGGAGCGGAAATTCTGAGATTCCTAGAAAACAGTGGTTAAACCGTACTCTCTAAACAAGGTCGGTTAAAACAAACTGTAATATTTTACGGGCGAGGGGGGGTAATCTTGCGAGGTCGCTTAAGAGGGGGTCTACTGTAATAATAATAATTAAGATCAAAGTGTACAATTATCAGTCTTCCTTGGTAATTAATATAAACTTTTATTGTTTATGGCCATGTAGTCCTTAATAGGGGAGGGGAGGGGCAAGTTGTAAAAGTCTATTTATTTGCTGTTGATGATTCACTAAAACCATCGATTTTGAATACTTTTCTGTAGCAGACTTGCAGTCAAAGGTAAAATAAAGTCAATATTAATTTTTTGAATCAGGAAGATTACAATGTCATTGACAATATTTATTTTTACTCATAAAATATCTTTACTCAATCCATGTTGTTTAAGTCTTTAATTTTTTATAGATACTGAAATTTAAATAAATTAACTGCAAAACTAAAAATGAAAGATGGTGCTTATAAAAAGGTCAATCAGTAAATTATTATTACAATAGCATATAAAAAAAAAAAAAAAAAAAACTCTTTAAATCACAACAATTTGTTACTATGGACATAATGATTCCTGTTATCTTACTCACACATCCTCTACACCCTAAATGCTAAACAAGCTTTTATCACTGTATTTATAATGCAACATTAAAAGGTTAGTTTTTCATAGTAAAAATTAGCCTAAACACTCTGTGATTTTTATGGTGAAAGACTTCAAGCAATTCCAAGCAAGAAATAATTAGTTTAATGAAAGCACATGACTTTGACACAACAAATTGCTGAGAACTTTTTCTTTTTGTACAGCAACTAAAAAAGTACCAAAAAAGTAGGTATTTAAAAATTTAAAAGGAAATAGTTTGAATATATTTACCATTCAAACATAAGCCGGAATTTAAAAACACAACCTAGAAAACTAAATTTTTAACAGGACATTTTATATCACAGGTTTCCATTTTACTTACAAAACATTGTAAATTACAGTAAAATGTTTGTGTCAAATGAAGTCTGTGGCTTAAATTATCGATTCATCTTAGAATAGTAAACAGAAATTAGATATAACATTAGAATTAGAGTATAGAAAGATTCATTCAATTTGCAAAAATAAAGCCAGCAGTAGAAGAATTTTGAAGAAACTAAAATACAGCATACAAAGTACTTACAGATATGAGTCGTGTTGAGCGAAAAGTTTTAGTGGTGGTTGATATCAGAGTTTGGGTGGAAGATGGCAATACGAGATCTAATGAACTAGTTGATGATAGGAGTATTTTGATAACTAAGAGTACAGGATAACATTTTGATCTATTCTGATCAGCCTTAAACTGGGAAGTGGAGCGCGGAACGTCAAGTCCACTCTCTTCTTGTCTTGAAAATGTGATAGTTCTGTTTCCCTAGATGCGGAGAGAATCGCCATTGTAATCACTTTTCTGCTCCCACGCCCAGGGAAATCTGGCTTTATGAGGTGAAAAAACATGTGACACAACTTGTATCATAAGAATACTGTTTAAAACGGCATTATGAAACACAGAGCAGGTTTGCAACACTTAATTAGGAAATATCAACTTCTTAAACACAATTGAAATGTTTCACTCAATCCGATTCGCAACATAGTTGTCACATAGGTAGACCGAACGCACATAGTGCCTAACCGCACGGAAAAGTAGCAAACTATCAGACATTGAATATTTTAAAATAAATAGTTTTAGAAATAGAATTACTCTAAGAACAATCACGTGTCTAAATGCACAATCATTTGTCATTGTGGTTTTATGCTTTTTTAAGCACTGGTGGAGAAAAATTCAGGGGTGATTGTTTTGCGTTGTATAGATGCAGGCCTATACAATATGGTGTGATATATTGTTGATATTATGATGTACCTTTGACAGTTAAGCTTCTACAAAGGCACTAACGGTTGTGCGTAAAATCATCTCTGTCTTTTTCCTCTCAGGTGGCATCTTTGTCTTAATGATTTCAGGAATACACAGATGTTTTTGAACAGTGAAAAATAGTATCCATTGAGTCAATTATTATGATGTTTTGTAAAATATGGATAGTATTTTGTGATGCTAAACAAGAATTGAACACAATAAATAAAAGTTATCATGGGATAAATTTAACTTGTTGCATAATGCTTGTAAACTCTTCACTTAACGATGTTACTGATAAAATTTATAGGCCTATTTAAATATTAAAATATTTTAAATAAAAGTAGGGGTTATAATACAACTAACTTGTAATGTTAGTTGCTTAGGCAATTGCATTATCTATAAATTTTACTAAATATATACACGGCACCTTGACATTTACCTTGTGTTTTGTGACCCCTTGAGGGATACATAATCTAAATTAATGACAATAAGTTTCGAGTGTATACATCCCTGAGGGGAAAATATTGAGAATTTGACTAGTATTTGTATGGAAGGGTTGTTAACCGAGATAAGTATATAGGCCCTACTATAATTTGGCCGCTTAGAAAACGACCTGCGCGCTAATGCTAAATCAATGCTGGAGGAGGTCGCTTTCTAAGCGGCCGAACAATACATTAAAAATTCATACTTTTCAAATTTTACAAATCTTTGTATTGTTAACAATGTACTATCTAAGGATAATATTTAAATACATCAAAACCAACAAACAATCAAAGATTGTTCAGCATTCAATCCCTCCTAAAACAAATATTTTGATACTTTTAGGTTACTTTTAATATTACAGGAGCCATCTTAAGTTTTAAAAAGTTAACTTTTTAATATTTCCAAATTAATTTAACATAGCTGTCTATTCTAACAAGAGATTGGCTACCTGCACACCTTTCCATGAGGTTCTTTTTTGGATCAAAGTGGTTACTAAAACCCCAGAAGCTTAATTTATACTGGTATATATAAATTTTCAAAACGAAAATGCCAGCAGTTCTTGTAATATTAAAATGCAAATCCAGATTTTAAACTGTTGAATTTTAACAACACGACAATTTGTTAATAATTGCATTCTAGAGAAGAATGGTATCAGAGGAAAAACGGGGGCTGAAATAAAATCATTATAGTTTTTGAAGGCTGCTCTTAAAAAGAATAAATAATTATGTATCCATAAACTAGCGTTAGTATACAGTAGTTGAATTGATCAACGGTTTATACTTTTCCTCTTTTTAATTGTAAACAAACACAATGAAAAACTAATTTATTGATACACTATGCAATTCTGTATTGCTGATACGCAGCACTAGAGTTTGTAAAATTTTTTGCTATAATTTTGTTTGATGTTACAGCAAATTAAAAACAACAAATAAATAAGAAATAGTAGAACCAAAGATAAGATAATTTTTTTTATCTAAATATAAAATAACATTAATTTAAGCATCAAAATCATCTATTAGCCGTTTACTATCCATTGGATGACTCCATCAGGAATAAAGTTTAAGATGGCTTCATGCAGCAAAGATTAGGAGGAATGATATAACAGACCAAACTAAGAACAAAATGTTCAATGAAGATGGCTGCCAGAACCAAACTATCCCCTAATTTACCAATGAGTGAGTTGAGTTAGCCTTATCTATCTAGCATTTTGTTATTCTATAAAGTGTGTCTTGTATATGTGAATAGTTTATTTTTTACTCTATGTAACAAAAGATATATTTTATGCCACTGATTTACTCTATACATATCTAAGGCATGATGTTAAGTGATGGTTTTTGTTAAGTTGAAAGTATTTTGTGATGATTTTAGGAGTGCAGACAAATTACGAGATTGTTAATTTTGACAGCAAGCTAAAACAATTTGTAATCTTTCACGGCCCTATTTTCTTATTTGTTGTAAACAAATTAAGAATTTAAAACCCTTCTCGGTTGGCATAGTATACACATGCTCAAAGTAAAAAAAAAATCTCATGCTATTTAGATGGGAATACAAATTAACAAAAAATACAAAATAAAACCCTGGATGAAACAAATAAGGGAGAGAGAACATCAACATTGAAGTAAAACTTGAGTAAATTGTCTTGAAAATGACTTTTTTACCCAATCAAGATAAGAAACATCCATCTTACAATGAATTTATTTTGAACAGTGTTGTGAATCAGTTGTTTTAAGACTGATTGTACGAATAATATAATAGGTTAAATACCTGTTGTCCGTCTTTAGTCCTTAAATATAGTCTAAGAATGGCTAGTTTTTGGGTCACAGACCCTTTTTAAAATCCACATCAAACTAGTTGGTCTATGAATCCGACAGAAGTCTTTGTCAATACATAAATACACGTCGACTCATAAAGTTCACAGTTTTACACAAAAACATTTAATAACAGTAGGTTGGCAACATTTAGACGTGGGGCAAAGCAACACAGGTTGCCTAAAGTTCCATGTATTGAGTTCCACCGTGTCACCCATTAAAAAATCCAAATTGAAAATGGGTCCTTGACCTGAAGCTAGTCATCCTTAAGTGCATACTTAAGACTATATTTAAAGACTGATGAAGGACAAAAGGTACGTAACCTTATATTATTTTATTTAAGTCAATCTCAATAATTTACAAAACCCGACCTCTATTTGTAGTTAATAATTTTAAAACTGTCTGTCATTTAAGTTTTAAAGTTTACTTATGCCTTTGCTGAGGAGGGTGGTATGGTATTAATTTGTTTATTAAAAAAAATGTATAACATAATTGATTAGAGCTTCCTACATTACAAAAAAAAAACTGTCCTAGAACTACATGCTAAATCGTAGGATTTAACAAAAATGTGTTGATTTGGTAAACAGCAAATGTTATAGTACAAGTTATTTTATTTAACAGATAAAACTTACGGTGTTTTCACCTTAAGATGTGATATACCGATGTATTTTTAGGAAATGTGTTGTGAAGAAGGTTGTATTTTTTTGGAGAGGATCAATATATTTTACGAGGAAGAGCTACTTATTCAACAGCTTGAAGCACATGTACTTACAAAAATATATATAAATAAACAAAATGAAACGTATTATGAGACAATTTGAGTATTATTTTA